AAAGGGAGGGAGGAGGAGGAAGAGAAAAAGTACAATTGGATAAAAAGTCTTTATACAGTTTTTGAAATTTATGTCTCTGTTGTAGTGATAATAAAAAGATCTCTACACACAACGCTTGAAGGCAACAATATTCATGGATTTTTGAGTTTCCAAATGGCTTAGTTTCACTGGTGTCTTTACACTTTCTTTATACTACTTACTTATAAGAAACAGTTCTAATAACCTAAAGTCACTAGAATTTTTCCTCTACCCTAAACCTATTTTATCTCTCAGTTTTTACTGTTAATAGATCTCTCTCTTGTAAAATAGATTTATTAAATATTTGCTCAGCCCTGCATTTCAACTTTTTTTTCCTTTTTTTTTTAATTTTTTTTTTCTTTTTCTTTTTAGTTACAATTTGTTAACTCTGTGTCCCAGCCTACACCAAGCTCCTCAATTCATCAGATTTTGGTTTATCATTCAGCGATTTATTTTTGCACAGACCAGGTGTTCTTCTCACTGTAGTCATTTTATAAATGTGCCCTATGTTCCTAATCATAGTATTTCCTAGCTTTTTCTACCTGGCAAAATGCTGTGTACATTTTCGATTTCCCTACATGGTGGTGCACACAGCACACACTCAATACATATCCCTAATACACATTCCTGTGATAGTCACAGCGATCTATCAGATAGTCATAGTATTGTCATATTAACCAGGAGACAAACAACCAGGTGCATATGAGAAAATCAGCATCAGTCCCTGTTTAAGTAGCCAATATCTCCTTTGAATATACAGCATCATTTACAAACTAGAGAAGTATTTTCTGCTTGAAACTTCATTATTTACTCATAATATTTAATTTCATGCTTACATGATTTAAAATATCCCATTTATTTTTTAAGTTATTTTAAAAGCAGCGACTGATACAGCATTTCAGAATTTAAAGATGGTATTATGGCTTGATAAATTATAAACTCAATAAATTATAATGAGTTACATTATAGTGTATCAATATTTTAAAATAAGTATTAAAATGGTTTCAAAGCAATGGTAAATATGCTTAGTATTATAGTACTCAATATTTTTACTTTGAATTTTTGTTTTGTTTTATTCATTTATTATAATTTATTACAATTTATTCGATTTGTATTCAGGCCGTGGCCCCCTCCCTCATCTGTCGATCCCACCCGCCCTCCCTCTTCTCCCATAACCCTCTCCTAGTCCACTGATAGGTGAGGTCTTCCTCCCATTCTATTTGACCCTAGCCTCTCAGGTCTCATCAAGACTGGTTGCATTGTCTGCCCCTGTGTCTTGGCAAGGCTACATCACCCAGAGAGAGGTGATTAGAGAGCCTGTCATTGATTTCATGCTAGAGAAAGCTCCTGCTCCCCTTATTAGGGAAACCACTTGGAGACTGAGTCTGTGGGCTACATATGAGCAGGGGTTTTAGGTCATCTCCATGCATTGTCCTTGGTCGGTGTATCAGTCTCTGCAGGGACCCCAGGGCTCAGCTTAATTGCCTCTATTGGTCTCCTTTGGAGGCTCCTGTCCCCTCCAGGTCTTTCTATCTCCCCCTTCTTTCATAAGATTGTCTGTATTCTGCCCAAAGTTTGGCTACGAGTTAGCCTCTACTTCGAAACGTCAATCATCAGTCTTTCAGAGGCCCTCTGTAATAAGCTCCTGCCCTCCTGTCTCCTCCTGTCTCCTCCTGCTTCCAATGTCTATTGCATTTTTCCTTCTGAATGAGCACTGAACAACTTCCTTACATGGAGAAAACAAGTAACAGGACAGGAGCCTACTATAGAGGGCCTCTGAAAGACTCTACCTAGCAGTGTATCAAAGCAGATGCTGAGACTCATAACCAAACCTTGGGCAGAGTTCAGGGAATCATATGAAAAAAGGGGGAGTTAGTAAGACCTAGAGAGGACAGGAGCTCCACAAGGACCAAATATATCGGGGCACAGCGTTCTTCTATGAGACTGTTTCTCCAACCAAGGACCATGTATGGATATAACCTAGAACCCTGGCTTGGATGTAGCCCATGGTAGCTCAGTATCCAAATGGGTTCCCTAGTAAGGGAAACAAGGATTATTTCTGACATGAACTCAATGACTGGCTCTTTGACCTCCTCCCCCCTCCCTGAGGGAGGAGCAAATCTAGGCTACAGAGGAGGACTTGGCAGCCAGTCCTGAAGATACCTGATAAGCTAGCATTAGATAGAAGGGGAAGAGGTTCCCCCATCAGTGGACTTGGAAGGGGCAGGGGAGGAGATGAGGGAGGGAGGGTGGGATTGGAAGGGAAAGATGGAGGGGGCTACAGCTGGGATACAAGTGAAAGACCTGTGATTAATATAAAAAAAAATGACATGCAGTGTCATGTCACTGCATAATTATTTATATATTTATAACTATATATGTACATACATAGACTGTGTGAGTGTGTGTATCTATAATATTTCAGTACAATGCTTTCTACATGAAATTTCTCACTAACTTTTTAATTTCCATTTAAGTTAGAAAAAAAACTAAGTAGCATTTCCCCAAAATATGTCATGGGGCTGAATCAGAGTATTGGGATTTCATTTAGTATCAGTGGTGTTAGAGGATGGTGGTGTTTTGTGGGTCTAATTGTTTGTCAAGCAAGGTATCTAGCACAGACTAGACTCAAACTTCCTGTGTGAGGGAGGATGACTGAAAGCTGGCTACTTCTTCTTCCACTGCCGCAGTACTGAGACTAGCTGTGAGTCCTTCCATTACCCTGGTTATGGTTAGAGATCTGACTCAGAGCTAAGCAGCCACACGTTGTTTATTAAGGCTCAACGTAAAAACACTTAATTTAGTTTTCATCCCCAAAACATAGAAAATTTATGTCTGTATTATTTTATTCATTATTGTACTCTGATCACTGGCTTCAGGCCCATGAGTTCAGGGATCACAGACCTGCACCATCATGTTTAGTTTCATCCTGTTCTTAAAGTTCTACTTTCTTAGAATTCAATTGCTTGATGTGGATATCAGATCTACTAAAGGAACTATCACAGGGATTATTCAAGAAACTAAAAAGAATGCCTTCTGTTGTTAGTTTTGGAATATAAATTTGATATAAAAACTGACTTTTTCAAGCCTCCAACCTCCCCGAAAATAAATAGAATTCTGGTGATTAAAATGAAATATGTTTGCAAAACAATTAATAAGGCTGAAAAATACAAATTTTGAAAGAATTTAACTTTTAGTATTCTACTAATTATAAACCAATATTTTAACACAGCAGAAGATCATCTATTAATGTAACTTCATAGCTATATTAATATAAATAGATGCCTATACACATTTCCAAATACATATCCACAGTCAAATTTGTAGTTCTTTAAAGCAATCTCATTTATGTCAGAGAAGGGCAAATACATGTAAAAACTAATGTTATTTATTGTAAGTTATAGAATAAAATGAGAAATCTGTATTTCATTCAAAACAGATACGAGTGCTGTTGTGTGAAAGAAAAAGGCTCTGCTCTTTGAAAGCCTTGGAAATGTAAAACTCTGAGAGCCAATGAGTATAAAAAGTGAGCAATTAACAAAATAATAGTAATAATTAATAAATACATAAGAAAGTATATAGATAAAGTAGGACAAATATGATCATGAAAATTAGGTTTAACAATGTTACTGTAGAGCTTTACAGAACATAATTTACATTTGTGACAAAACTAAATTGTAAATGAATAAACAATGACAAAATGAAAAAAAAGAGTATACAAACCAACATGGTGCATTTAGAAAAATATACTGAAATGAAAGCTATTACATATAATACAATTAAGTATCTATATATGTAAATATATAAAAATATGTATATATGTAAAAATATTTATTGAACACACACACATGCACATGAGTAAGATAAGAAAAGTCATATGAAATCCCAATGAAACATAAAGGAAGACCGCTTCAGAAGTTATTGTAATGTGTAAGCTGCCTTTCTTCAATATCAGAATGAAGGTTACAGACAGAGAAGATTTAGAAAAAAAAAATTTACTGTTTTTCTAGTTTTAACTTCATTTCTTTTTTGGTGGTGCCAGGTGAATAAAAATAATTGATTAGTGAAAGTATAAAATCCAATCTGAAACTCTATAGTTTCAGGATGGTTGTTCTTGCTCTGGACTTTCATTGAGATTTACAGACCTTTGGACTGGTTAATTTTACTCTGTATTTATTTGCAAATTCATTGTAATTAAGTTTAAACAAATGAGAAAATGTGTAACTATGAAATAGCAGGAGAAAGAACTGATAAATTCAATGTATCAAAACACAATCCATGAGTAACATTTTTAGCCCGTCCATATTATAAGTTTGACACACTTTAGTACTAAAAAGAATAGCTTAGGTGCCAAATGTCTTTCTCAAATACTAAGTGTTAGCGGTCCCGCGTTTTCAGTCTCAGCTGGATAACCTGAAAATCCTTGCGCTTAAGCAAATGCACAAAAGAGGGAAAGGACTGAGCATTATTCCTACTACATCATGACGTTTTTATTCATATGTATGTTCGTGTCACACGTCTATATGTGGTGTGTGCTCACCAGTGGGTTCATGAATGCAGGTGGACACCCGTGGTATGTGCGTGTGACGTCTTGAGATCGTTTCCACTGTGGAAATTGCATCGGTGTTCAATGTGGAGCAGAACAATGTGCTGGCAACCTCCAGTGTCCACACACACACACAGGAGTATATGTGCACATGCAGATACACTTCCACACATATGTAAAAATTAAAAGACCTACATAGGAGAGAAAATGAAGTATTTGTCTTTGGGGGTGTTACTTTATTTGCTTAATATAATAGATTTCAGTTCAATAATTTTCCTGTATATGTCTGTTTTCCATTTATCTTCAAGGCTAACACATATGCCATTGTGTATAAATTGCATATTTTCGTTATCCATTATCTGTTGATGAGTATCTGTTCTAGAACATGAAGTGGATTTTTTTTCAGATGAAAACCTTATTTTACTTTTTATTGTAGGGAAAGGTGAGCATGGAAAACCATACCCCCTTACAGAAGAGCACCATGATGATTCTGCTTACAGGGAAAATGGCTTCAATATTTTTGTCAGCAACAAGATTGCTCTAGAGAGGTCTCTGCCAGACATCCGCCATGCTAAGTAAGTACAAGCATGTGAAAGGTGCTGGTTTCTTGGTTATTTTGTGTTATTATTTTTTCATGCATATTACTGTGGTATGTGTAATCAAAGTTTCACATTCATCATTTGGATTAAAACTTCCATGTTTTGTAATGTTAAGTATGATTAATTAAAAGTAAATATGTTTTGAAATTCTCAAAGAATGTCAGCTGCACTGATTAAGATAACTGCTGTAATTTTTATTTCATAGAATGCTGATAAGATATGAGGACATTTGTGTGACAGATGTCCTTTCAGGAGTTATGTTAATGGCTTCAATTCATAATAACACAGAAAAGATCATCCTGAGTGGGATAACTCAGAAGCAGAAAGACACTCATGATATATACACACTTATAAGTGGATATTAAACATATAATGTAGGATAAACATACTAAAATCTATACTCTTAAAGAAGCTTAACAAGAAAGAAGACCCTAGGGAAGATTCTCAGTCCTCATTCAGAAGGGCAAACAGGATGGACATAGGTCATAGGAGAAGACAATGAACAGGACAGGAGCCTACCAAAAAAGGGCTTCTGAAAGACTCTCCTGATCAGAGTATCAGAGTAGATGCTGAGACTCATAGCCAAACTTTGGGTAGAATGCAGGGAATCTTATGAAAAAAGAGGGAGATAGAAAGCGTGGAGGGAACAGGAGCTCCACAAGGAGACAGACAGAGCCAAAAAATCTGGGTCCATTGGGGACTGCAGAGACGGATACCCTAACCAAGGACTATACATGGAGAGGACATAAAATCTGTGCTCAAATATACCCCATAGTTTCAGTCTCCAAGTGGGTTTCCTAGTAAGGGAAGCAGGGGCTGTGTCTGGCATGAACTCAGTGGCTGGCTTTTTGTTCACCTCCCCCTGGGTAGTACAGCCTTGTGAGGCTACTGAGGAAGGTAACTCAGCCAGTCCTGTTGAAATCTGATAGGCTAGGGTCAGATAGAAGAGGAGGAGGACCTCCCCTATCAGTGGACTAGGGGAGGGACATAGGAGGAGAAGAGGGAGGAAGGGTATGATTAGAAGGAGATGAAGGAGGGGCTACAGCCTGGATGGAAAGTGTATAACATGTAATAAATAATTAAAAATTAAAAAAAATTAAACTACAAAAACAAAACAGATTCTGATGAGAAAACCAGTTATTCTTATGTTTGCCAAATGAATTAAAGAAGTGATATAAAAAAACAGTAGTCCCTAAAGTATATATTTTTCCTTTTAAGTGTCAATTATCAAAACTTTGAGTTTTACTAATCTACAATTCTCACTTAATTTATATCTTTATTTATATGTCATTTTATATATTTATATATTTCTTTCTTAATTTATATATCTCACTTAATTTATATCTTATCTTTATTTTGGTTAGTTTCTGTTAATTCTGTTCCTTCTTCCCACTCTCCCTCCTTCCTTTCTTCCCTTCCTCTGACTATAAGCCCTCTCTCATACAAGTGTTTCTTTTTTTAAATTTATTTTTTAAATTATTACAATTTATTCACTTTGTATCCCAGTTTTGGCCCCCTTTGCTCATCCCCTCCCAATCTCTCCCTCCCTCCCCCTTCTCCTCCCATTTCCCTCCCCTAGTCCACTGATAGGGGAGGTCCTCCCCCACCTTCCATTTGACTCCAGCCTATCAGATCTCATTAGGTCTGTCTGCATTATCTTCATCTGTGGCCTGGCAAGGCTGCCTGCCTCCCACCTCAGGGGGAGGTGATTAAAGAGCCAGCCACTGAACTCACTTCAGAAATAGCATCTGATCCCCTTACTAGTCAATCCACTTGGGGACTGAGCTGCCATGGGCTACATCTGTGCAGGGGTTCTAGTTGATCTTCGTGAATGCTCCTTTGTTGGAGTATCAGTCTCAGAAAAGAACACTGGGCCCAGATGTTTTGGTTCTGTTGCTCTCCTTGTGGAGCTCCTGTCCCCTCCAGGTCTTTCTGTCTGCCCCTTCTTTCATAAGATTCCCTACACTCTGCTCAAAGTTTAGCTATGAACCTCAGCATCTGCTTTGAGACCCCACAGGGTAGAGTCTTTTAGAGGCCCTCCCTCTGTGGTAGGTTCCTGTCCTGTTCCCTGTTTTCTCCCTCTTCTGAAGTCTATCCTTTTTGCGTTAATGAATGAGGATTGCACATCTTAAAAAAGAGTCCTCCTTCTTTATTAGCTTCTTCAGGTGTACAGATTTTACTATTTTTATCCTATATTATGTGTCTAATATCCACTTATAAGTGAGTATATACCATGTGTGTCTTTCTGCTTCTGGGATACCTCACGCAGGATGATCTTTTCTAGTCCCACCATTTGCCTGAACATTTGCTCAATCATTTTCATAGTAGCTCTATATGTATTAACAAGAATCTGGGAACAACCCAGATGTCCCTCAGTTGGAGAATGGGAATAGAAATTGTGATAAATATGAATCTATTTTCATTTTTCTGCATGTAGACATCCAGTTGGACCAGCACTATTTGTTGAAGATGCTATCTTTTTTTCCATTGAATGGTTTGGCTTCTTTGTCAACAATCAAGTATCCATAGGTGTGTGGGCTTATTTCTGGATCTTCACTTTAGTTCCATTGATTCACCCTTCTGTTTCTATGCCAATACCATGCCATTTTTATTACTATTGCTCTGTAGTACAGTTTGAGACCAGGAATGGAGATACCTCTAGACTGTTGTTGTACAGGATCATTTTGGAAATTCTGGGTTTTTTGTTTCTCCATATGAAGTTGATAATTTTTCTCTCAATGTCTGTAAAGAATTGTGTTGGTATTTTGATGGGAATTGCATTGAATCTGTAGATTACTTTTGGTAAGATGGCCATTTTCTCTATGTTAATCTTACCGATCCATGAGCACAGGAGGTCTTTCCATCTTCTGATATCTTCTTCAATTTCTTTCTTTAGAGACTTGAAGTTTTTTTTTTTTTTTTTTTTTTTTTTTTTTTTTTTTTTTTTTTTTTTT